TTATATATATATATATATATATATATATTACCTGTATATATTCACGTGTATGTATATATATACATACATACTAGTCGAATATACTTCTTCGTTTTGTGTATTGTGCACGCAACAGACAAGTCGGTTGGGCCAATACAGTCTAGATTATGAAAGTCGCAATTGTATGCTCCTGTTGCACTTTATACTATAAATTATACACTATGTAACCATTATGCACATGTTTGCTTTACAGCAACAGTCTTGTTAAATACGTGTACAGATACAACAGTACCAAGTGCGCCAAATTCACATAAGCATTTACCTCCTACAGCAATAACTTCGCTAACACACATACATGGTCAATAGTAATCGGCCGATCTATCCACAGTAAGCTGGTGAGATGCAAAGCCAAAGCGGTTTGATCTGGTTGATCAAACTCGACATATGCTTCCTTGGCAGCAATGGACGTGATATCACCAGTGGATACATACACGCGTTTAACGGTGCCTACGAACTCAAAGAGTTCCTTCAGCTTCTCATCTGTTGATGTGGGAGCTAGAGATGTGATACGTACCACTGTGGACACACTGGCCGCAGCCATGATAGCGTAATGCGCTTTGCTGGGGTTCAGTGATGAGTGGGAATGTATCAACTAAGACCGATTTGCACACCGATTTTCACCGTATGTAAGTGAATGTGTTTTTACACGCAACTCTCTGTCAAATGTTTTTGTAAGCACTTTTCTGTTGACTCACAAGTCACAGACTCACAGCCACACACTACTGAACAGTGACCAACTGACCACAGGTGACACCGTGACAGGTCACAGGACCCCACACCCAAGGCCCAGGGCCCAGGGCCGCGCTATGAAATTTATTTATTTTTGAATTCGGTTGTTTGGTGTGGCTGTGTAATATTAAATGGGCCACGGGGGATTTTTTTTTGCTAAATAGTCTCTCTAGTATTTAGTAGAGCCTGAGGGAGCCTGGGCCCTGGCCCTGATTCTGCGGGTTGGGGTCTTGGGTCTTGGGGTCATTGTTAGGGACTTTTGGAATTGAGTCCCTGGACTATCGGACCTGAGGCCTGGCCCCTGGGGCCATGGGTGCATTGTGCAATCAGTGGATTCGGTGAATTTATAAATAATAATAATGAGGTGTGTTATATAAGACCGCGACCACTATGACTGCGATTCTCGCCCGCGACCACTAAATAAAAGTCTGCCGCTGTCGCTTACGACTGTTAAACCTGCTTTAAAAAAAAAATACTGCCTTTTTTTAAAAAACAATATAAATACCGTATAATTATAAATATATATCAGTACATTATGACTGCCTTTCAAGATAGGCTGCACTATACATACCTAAGTAACTCTACACCCACCTATGGTGCAATCTTTAAAATGATACAGGAAACCACCCCTACTTCAGCCAGGCACAGAACACACTAATAGTGACCCGATTCGGACGTTTGATAGCGGAAAATGCTCACAAAGACCTGATTGAGAAAATCACCCTATTTTTGGATTTGCACTTAGTTACGAAATCTAGTTTTGAAATCTTGAAAATTTGGCCGTTTGTGGTGGAACCCACCTTGCAGTACGAATTTTGGACTTTTGAGGGCAGAAATCGACATGCCAGCCCATTCCTAAGACACGCGCTATCATCAGATTTTCGAAATTGGTTTCCCATCCTGTTGAAAGGTGTATTTATTGTACTCTAATGATAATAAAAAATAGCTTCTCAGCTGTAACTGTATATCGTACACATTCTCGGGTACCCGACGGTGAGAAGTATACATCTTCTTGGTAAATTCTGCCTATATACATTCATATATATATATATTTATGTATATATATGTACATATATATATACATATATATATTGTGTACATCACAAAAGTGAGCATACATACTTGGTATCCTCTGTGTCTGATTTCTCTCTGTCTACATCTTCTTCTACCCGCCCGATCAATCGCTAGGACACGTGATATAGGTGGTGTGGATTGTATTGTATATGTAAGCTGTCGACTATGTTTGTACGAGGTGTAATTTATGTTTATCATATAAGCTGTCGACTATGTTTGTACGAGGTGTAATTTATGTTTATCATATATTCCACACACTAAGTCACAGCCCCAAATGGTCGCTGAGGCCAATATATTGGCCGGTCCCAAAAATAAAAATAAATGGCCGAAGTTTTTTAAGACGGTTTTGGCTTCTACACACAATTCTAAAACCCGCGACGAAAGCCGATTTCGGATTAAGAAATTCTTTCACATAGAAAATGAAGTTACAATTTTTTCCCCCATATCATCTTAAAGCGACTGAACCTTACCGAGGGCCTCACGCTTACTTTTTTTTGGTAAAAAACAATTCCATGAATCACCGCTGCGGGGTGTGCCATTGCATACATACATACATGCACGAATACATACATACATACATGTATGCATGCAGTACATATACACATAAAAGCATGCATACATACAAACATGCGTGTATACGTACATACATGCATGTATACTTACATGTATGCATGCATATATACTTGCTTACAAACATATACATGCAAGCATGCATGCATGCATGCGTGCAAGCAAGCATCTATATATATATATATATATATATATATATATATATAATAGTATTATAATAATATATA